ATTAGACTGAAAGCTCAAGTGCCATCAACCGTAAACACCTTAATCCTATAATTAGTGAAATTTTTCATTGATCCATAAAAATCTTACTAATTATGGAGTTGATGATTTGCTGTTTGTATAAAATAATATTACAAAACATTTTTTCTCATTTTTGTTGTCTTATAGATTTATAAATTCTTATCAATTTTAAAAATTTTATATGTATTTATTATTCAACATTTTTGTAAAAAAATCCATTCAAACAAGACTTGTAGGTGGAACAAACATGGTCTTATGTTCATTTGATGATTGAGAAGGAAGAAAAACAATCAAAGAAAATAAGAAATTTTAAGGTCGAAATGAATACGACATTTGAAAGCTAAGGTTCTTTCATAGGTTCTTGTCTAATACTCTTCTTAAGTAGAGCCACGTATGTCATTTTGTTGGTTTTTGTATCACAATTAATCATTTATTAGTTTGAGTAGAATAAACTCAATTTAAAAAAAAATTATTTTTTTAAAATAAAATTTTGAATTTAAATCATTTGAATATAAAAATAAATGTTGAGAGTTTTTTTTAACACAATTTAATTCTAAATTAATTAAGATTTAATGTATTTTTTGAATACCAAAAAATTAGTGAAAATAAGTTGTTATATCATGGGTGATGTGAATTTTTTAGTATTAGTTAACAAAAGCACAAATTGAATATGGTCTTATAGCCTCATTTAAAAAAAAAATGGGAAAAAAAAAAAAGAATATGAAAAAGAATATGGTCTGAATTTATTTATAGAGAAGAAATGGTATCCACCACTGTTTGAAGAAAATGACAAATTATGAAGCGTGTCTCGTGAATTCAAAATGTCACTATTTTTCTCTATTATAATATTTCAATCTTATTTGCACATAGTTTAAAAAGTTAATTAATTATAAATTTTTATAAAAAGTTCTCTTTTTAATTTTAAATGTTAAGTTTAAATTTTCTTTTCTTAAATTTATACTTGTTAAAGAAATCTTATTTACAAAAATAATAATAATAATAATATGGTCTTAATTTATAGAGAAAAATTGTTACCACCACCGTTTGATAAAAAGATAAATTATGAAGCGCTTTTCGTGAATTTTTTTTTTTAACAAATTGTAATTATTTATAGGGATAATTGGGAGAGGGGAGAAAGGGATTTCGTGAAGATTGAACGTGCAACCCATGGAAATGAACAGTTATAATCTAAGGTTTAATACCACTTGATCGAAATGAATCGTTCCCTTTTTTTGTAAATTTGAAATCTCACTATTTTTCTTTTTTTATGGGATTGAGATGTCATCCTTGCATAAGGTGTAAATCACAATTCGTACATATAAACAAAAAAATAATAATTTAAATTATATGATGGGCAAATAAAATCAATTTAAAAATAAAAAATTCTCTCTTTATTCATCTTTTATATGTAAATATATTTTTAAATTATTTAATATTTGACCAATGATATAAATAATTTAATTGTAATTTTTTTAATAAAAGCAAGAAAT